ATCAACAAGGGTGAGCGGAAAGGGGTGAACGAGTGTCAGGTTAGTATTAACACCCAAGAACCCAAGAATGCCCTTCGTTAGCGATCATAATTTGGAGGAAATGCAATTTTCTACCCAAGTGTCACAAGGAGTACATGTATGTCCAAGTGCACATTTAAATTTATATGGGCACCGAAAATCGATGAATAAATTGTGTTAGCTAAACAGTCATTTTTAACCGGATATAGTTTTTGCTCGTGGCTGAGTGCAATGTCTTCGGACTATGTCGCAGAACAATCAGTTCTAAAACCGCTCCACACTTATTGATTTCAATCGAATATTTCCTCGGATACGTCCCCTACTGTTGTATACCTTTTTTAATCTCACTACTACAATTTTCACGTAAATAGGTGCCTATCCTTTTTGCTGCTTTTTTCCCATGAAGGGTAGGTTTACACACTCATGTCGGTTGCAAATTCTTCTCAGTAGATAACCTCAATCGCAAGCTCTCAAGTCAATTTCGGTACAAATATTTGAGCACACGAGCTTTATGCCACTCAGAAAAATGTTCTTCCCCTGGGTTTTTACCACCTCTCTCTTTATATTAATTTGCCTTTTTTAAACCGAGAACACCTTTTTTCGGTGTCTTCAAGTGAGTTTACTCAACTTGTGCGTTTCTTCCTTTCAGTGGCCATGGAGGCCATTTCATCTCACCTTCTCACTGCTACTGCTGTCGTTGGCAACGTCAGCATTTCGTCTGCCGGCTCCAGATTCATCTGTCAAGATCACGAGTGTTCGGCAAGGCGACTTTACCCTTCTACCGGCCTGTGAACTACCTGCTGTCACGGATTATAAATCGAGGGGCTGGAACTGGACGCACAACGATATGCAGATACTGTCCCCGTCACAGTTCATTATCCCGCATCGTCATAACGGTTCCCTCACCGTCCAGGCCCAGCTTGCTGACTTCAACTCTACTTATCAGTGTGAAGCCTACGTTGTACTGGCCAACGAGACTGTCGTTAAGGGCGAAACTAAAGTGCATTTTATAATACCTATAGGTGAGTGTTTTTTTAACTTTTAGTAAGACTTTCACTCACTGGC